TCATACAGCACTCTACTAAACACACACATTCATACAGCACTCTACTACACACACACACATTCCTACAGCACTCTACTACACACATATTCCTAAAGCATTCTACTTTGCACATTCCTACAACACACTACTACTACACACACATTCCTACAACAAACTACTCCACACACACATTCCTACAGCACTCTACTACACACACATTCCTACAACACTCAACTACACACACATTCCTACAACACACTACTACTACACACACATTCCTACAGCACTCTACTCCACACACACATTCCTACAGCACTCTACTATACAAACATTCCTACAGCAATCTACTATACAAACATTCCTACAGCACTCTATTACACACACATTCATACAGCACTCTACTACGCACGCACATTCCTACAGCACTCTAGTACACACACATTCCTACAGCACTCTACTACACACACAATCATACAGCACTCCACTACACACATTCCTACAGCACTCTACTGTGCACAAACATTCCTACAACACTCTACTACGCACACATTGCTACAGCACTCTACTCCACACATATTCATACAGCACTCAACTACATACACACATTCCTACAGCACTCTACTACACACACATTCATACAGCACTCAACTACATACACACATTCCTACAGCATTCAACTATGCACACACAATCCTACAGCACTATACTGCACACACACATTCCTACATCACTCTACAACACACACGCATTCATACAGGACTCTACTAGGCACACACATTCATAAAGCACTCTACTAAGCACGCACATTCATACAGCACTCTACTACACACACATTCCTATAGCACTCTACTACACCAACATTCATACAGCACTCTACTACGCACACATTCCTACAGCACTCTACTACACACACATTCCTACAGTACTCTACTACACACACATTCATACAGCACTCTACTCCACACACACATTCCTAAAGCACTCTACTACACCAACATTCATACAGCGCTCTACTACACCAACATTCATACAGCACTCAAACACACACATTCCTACAGCACTCTACTACACACGCACATTCATACAGCACTCTATTAGGCACACATTCCTACAGCACTCTATTACGCACACATTCATACAGCACTTTACTAAGCACGCACATTCATAGAGCACTCTACTACACACACATTCATACAGCACTCTACTAGACCAACATTCATATAGCACTCTACTACGTACACACATTCCTACAGCACTCTACTATACACACATTCCTAAAGCACTCTATTACGCACACATTCCTAAAGCACTCTACTAAGCACGCACATTCATAGAGCACTCTACTACACACACATTCATACAGCACTCTACTACACACATTCTTACAGCACTCTACTACACACACATTCATACAGCACTCTACTACATCTCTACAAAGATAATCTGAATCTGTAGAGACTAGTCAATGCTTTAGATCACATTCATACAATGAAGAGACATATCAGAGGCAATGATGGGTTCAGTCTCTTGCCCAGAGACACTTCAACGTGTGACTGCTGGTGGAATTGAACCCCCAACTCTCCCACTGGAGTATGACTGCTCTAACCACTCAGCAACAGCTGCACCAAAGACAGCGACATGTAGATAAGAGCCTACCCTCCACGGTGCAGGACTCCATAAAGGATGAAGCTGATGAGGTCGCTGAAGTCCTGGGGATGAAACGTGCTGCTCGGTGCACAGCTCATGTGATGACGAATGGCCAGAGAGATGTCTCTAATCTCAGACGGATAGTGGTTACTGTGAACAAGCAACAAACAAACATGTAGAATTAAGAAGATTTTAAAAGCATTAAAGCTAAAATGAATGAGTGACTGAAGAAGTCTGACCTCAGAGCTACATCCAGGGGGACGGTCCTGAGCAGTTTGGCATACGCCTGCCTCACCTTCACTGCAGAATGGACCAGCTGAACCCTGCACACACTCACACACCTAACACACACACACACAACACACACAATCATGAAATGCTCATAATAATATTACCATGTCGACAGCTCAGCAAGAGACAGAAAGAAAAGCTTTAACAGCTGAAAGGCCTTTAGACTTGAACTACAGAACTGTGAATGATGACAACTGTACATGTTGAAGCTATAATCAACAAAACAGTCACTAAAATTAGTCAAACTGTAGCCAAAACCAAAAGGAATAGAATGGTAGCTAAAGTAAAAGCTAAAAGTAGCTAAACATTAGCCAAAAGTGGCAGAGCGGTAGCTATAATGAGCATGAACTACATAAATAAAGCAGGTATGCTAAAGCAGATTTTAAAATATTTAATGTTGTATATAAGAATATTTCAATAGATTTCTTTGGAGAATTTCAGTGAAGTTAAATATTTTTGAAAACTACACAAACTTACAAAACACAACTGATAGCACAGAGTTCTTGACTGAGTGGAATAATTTTATATAAAATGATCAAATAGCACAAAGTATGCATAAAATCACTGAGGGATGATAGATAGTAATGAGGAAACTATGGTAAAGAGGTGGACCTCTGCAGGAGTTCTGTGGACAGAGACGTGGACAGGGCCTGAAGGCTGCAGCAGCTCTGAAGACAAACACTCTGATCCTCATGCAGAGCTAACAGAAAACAAAGAAGAAAACATCTGAAGACTTTCAAAACGTTTTTGACAACGTTAAAACCATTAAGAGTTCTTGGATGGAGATGGTAGCCTCACCATTATCCAGCAGGCCCCTGCAGAACTTGTTGAAGGAGGGCAGGGAGAACAGAGGGCTGTAGGTTTCACATTTCATCATGAGCAGAGAAACTTCCTGAGCCCAGGTGAGCAGAAGCTTCCTAACACATGGACATGAAGGAATGAGACACAGAAAGCTTTGTCTGGTCTTTAGTCAGGAGCTTGAGACAGACAACTCAACTGAATGACTGAAATGTAACGTCACGATCTACAGAAGAGGTGTCCACACTTATTCAGCATTTTAAAATGACCGTGTCAAAGTGATCTACTATAAGGCCCCGTTTACACAAGAACAACCTCTGGAAACAGTGTTTTTTCAATGATTATTTATTATTTGTAAGCTAAAAATCAGCAGATTTACATGAAAAAACTCTGTAGTTCCCATGTCAGGCAGGTTGCCAGATAAGAAATTATGAAAGAAAATGAGATTATTACTGCGGCTTTAAAATGATAGTATTTTGACCTAAACTATTTCAACTGTTATGTGTTGAGTAAAGATATTCTAAGATGAGGTATGATGTGTTCGTTGAACATGATAATTTACATTTATCAGAGTCAGAGTCAGAGTTTCTTTATTGTCGTTCCACCCCATGTGGTACATGTGGTGGAGTGAAATTATGTACACAGGGTCCCAGTTACATCCAACAATAAAATGTATAAGAAAAACAACAATAACATCCAAGATATGAACTAAGAAAAACATCAACTAAATATACACTAAGCACTCATAACATAAAAACATGTGAGCAGATGTGCACGCATGAACACAGCAACATGAAACAGACCAGCAGCAACATGAAACTGATCAGCAGCAACATGAAACTGATCAGCAGCAACATGAAACTGTTCAGCAGCGACATGAAACTGATCAGCAGCGACATGAAACAGACCAGCAGCAACATGAAACTGATCAGCAGCGACATGAAACTGATCAGCAGCGACATGAAACTGATCAGCATCGACATGAAACAGATCAGCAGCAACATGATGTGATTTTTCACAGTGATTATTCTGGTTAGAGATTCATGAGTCTAACAGCCTCAGGGTAGAAGCTGTTCCTCAGTCTAGTGGTTCTACACTTAATGCTCCTCAACCTCCTTCCTGAGGGGAGCAGGGCAAAAAGTGTGTGTGCTGGGTGAGAGGGGTTCTTCATGATGCAGGTGGCCCTCTTCCTGCATCTGGAGGTGTAGATGTCTGTGATGGTGGGGAGACTGACTCCAACATCTTCTGTGCAGCCTTCACCACTCTCTGCAAAGCTTTTCTTTCTGCAGCTGTGCAGCCTCCATGCCACACATTGATGCTCGAGCACAGGATGCTCTCCACTGCACACCTGTAGAAGGAGGTGAGGACTGAGCTTCCCAGACCAGCTCATCTCAGCTGCCTGAGGAAGTAGAGTCTCTGATGAGCTTTCTTGATCAGGCTGGTGGTGTTGTTGCTCCAGCTGAAGTTGTCATTCAGGTGCACACCCAAGTACTTGTAGCTGGAGACCACTTCCACCGCAGACCCTCCTATATTCAAGGGGGAGGTGTGTTTGTTCGGTCTCAAGTCCATGACCATCTCCATCTTCTTCACATTGATGTGAAGGTTGTTCTTCCTGCACCAGCTCTCCAGGTTTTCTACAAAGTACCCCCTGCCTGTAGCTGGACTCATTGTTGTTTGTGATGCATCCCACCACCACTGTATCGTCTGCATACTTTACATTGTGACAGCCTGGGTGGGTAGGTGTGCAGTCATACGTGAGCAGAGTGAACAGAAGGGGGCTCAGCACACAGCCCTGAGGAGAGCCAGTGCTGAGGGTTATGGTGGAGGAGGAGAAGTTGTGGATCCTCACTGACTGTGGTCTGTTTATTAAGAAGTCTAGTACCCAGTTGCAAACAGTCCTAGTGTGAATAGTTTGTCCGTGAGGGTTTGGGGGATCATGGTATTGAAGGCAGAAGTTAAGTCCACAAAGAGCATACGGACGTAGGAGTCCTTCTGCTCCAGGTGGGTGAGAGCAGTGTTGGACGAAATTACGTCCTCTGTTGAGCAATTCTTGCAGTATGCATACTGATGAGGGTCATCTCTGATGTAGATGGTTGTTTTGATGTGGGTCATGACTAGTCTTTCGAAGAATTTAGTGACAATCGGGGTGAGGGCTACTGGCAGATAAGTCATTCAGACCAGTCACTGTAGAGCTCTTTGGGACTGGGATGATGGTGGCAATCTTCAGACAGGTGAGAACTGTTGCCAGGGTGAGGGAGGAGTTGAAGACGTCAGCCAGCACCACATAGAGCTGATCGGCACAGTCTCTCAGCACCTTCCCGGGGATGTTGTCTGGGCCAGTTGCTTTGTGAGGATTAATCCTCCTGAAAGTACTTCTTACTTCGGCTGAGGTCACGCTGACAAAATCCTCTTCCAGTGGTGGGGGGAGTCTGGTGCTGAGTGGTCTGTTCGAGTCTTCAAAGTGTGCCTAGAACTTGTTGAGGGCATCAGGCAGTGATGAGTCCCTAGGGCATTGTGCACCCCTGCTTTTATAATCTGTTATACACTTAATGCCCCTTCACATGCTCCGTGGGACTCGATATGCATGCAGTGACTGCATGAGAGTTACGTCCACACTGGTGAACACATCAATGTCTCATTGAAGCCTGGATTTCATTAGTTTTGCTTTGGCTGCGGCTGCCTGCCTGGGAGGAGTGGACGGGGGACGGGACAGGACAACCGTCAGAAACCATCTTATCTACAACAAACTGGTTGGTCCACTTAAGGAGTGTACAGCTTAGTGGGGAAACGGTTTACTTGGGACTCCTAGACTGATGAAGCCCTCCGGATAGAGGATGAAACGTCTTTCTACAAAAAAGAAACTGTCCAGATGACCTGACTGAGCATTATTGGATTTGGTACCTGGATGAGTGAGCATGAACTTTGATTATTGTCTATTCCACAGCCCATAATAAACTGACTGATTCTTTACAGCTCACTCAATTAATCATGTTTCTGTTCTTTTATTCTGCATTTCATGCTTTCGCTTTCTGTCTGAACACTTGGGACAATTTTTATACATTTCCATTTCATAATTTTGGATTTTGTTTGTATTTGCTGTAAGCATTGGACCCATCATGTTCTCTCTATGCTTTGTGTTGAATGACCTGAAACAGTTTCAGAATCGTTTGACCCATTTGTTTCTTTTTTGCCAGATGTTATAAAATGTGTGCAAACCTGGCATCAGAGGAAAGGTGCTCCTTTGACAGCAGACTTCCCAGGAGGCTTAGCAAAGTGCTAAAATGTTTCTTTGTCGCCGTGGTAACGGTGCTGATGACGGCGCCATCGAACAGAGAGGGAGATGATGATGACAGGCTGGATGAAATAAAATGATCATGTCTGCGAGAAAGAAAACAAGGTTACAGTAGTCCCTCGTATATTGCAGGGGATCCGTACCCTGAAGCACTGCAATAAGTGAAAAATTGCCAAGTAGGAATAGTAGTACAAGTAGTAAGTAGTAATTTATTTATATATATATATATATATATATATATAATGGCATATGGCATTTTAAACCCTTCCCACACACTTGCAATATTCTAAACAATGTTTCTAAACTCTAAATGCTCTAAAAGAGCACAGAATGTCATGATTTCAGGTCTTTGCCACAGATGCACTCTGCGCTCTCACCCACGCCCACGTCTACGCTGAAGAACGGAGACCAACAGAGGAGGAAGGAGGAGGGAGGAAAGAGGAGGAGCTGCAGAAGGAAGTTTCTCCTGCAGTGTGGTCTGCACAAATGTGCAGCAGGTGCTAAATAATTTAAATAATTCATTTTAAATAAAAATTTCATGAAAACTGTGCAGCTCATCCATCAATCAGCCAATTGTGTGCAATGTCCAATCTTATTTTGAAAAACCGTGACAGAGCAAGTCCGCGAAAAACAAACCGCGAAGTAGCAAGGGACTACTGTATATGAATAAATGTGATTTTTGTTGCACCATTTTGCTGAATTGATGGAACGAACACAGATTCACTGAGTTCATCAAATAATGCGTCAGTTGGTATCAGGTGAACATGCTGACCCAAAGTGTGAAAGCACAAAATATTTGATGTGAACAAAAAAGGTTAAATCATGTCATCTGGACCAGTTTCTTTACGTTTCGTCCCCCATCCAGAGGACTTCCACAGTCTGTGGCCTGCCAACCAGATCGGTCCCATAGGTAGGCTTCATTGCTGTGTTTCAAGCCAACCTCCTTTTGGAATCTCAGAAGTAGGATTTTAACACATGCAAAACAATCAATCATCATGTGCAACAATCAAATGTTTAAACCAGATGACCAATTAAGGCTGAATACCAAACCAAGGTTATTTTGTAGCACCCACCGAACTGCACCGGTCAGTGTATGTATTGAAACGTCACTCTTTTTTCGGTGTCAATTTTCGGTATTGGCTGTAACGTGTCATGTGGTTTCAGCGCGAAGGCAGGTAAAACACCAGACATATGACATATGACAGACTCATATGTTTACACCCAGAGCTGTATAGAGCTGCCGCACCTAATCTATGTATAATGTATGTCTATGGTGCTGGTGATGCCCACAGACGGGGTTCACGTGTGCAACGCGTGTTGTCGAACGGCTTCAATTTATGAGCAGAAAGTTGCTCCGTGTTTCTCTGCAAGAAGAGAGAAGGACAGCAGTCCCCCTCCTCCTCTCAGCATTAAAGTCAGCCTGTGAGTGTTAGAGAGCATGAACGGCCTGATTCATTATCTCCACGACCGGACTCTTCATCAAAGAACTCCGAGGACAGAGCTGTGTCTGAGTTTCAGCTGGTGAGTTTACGTTTGTTAACGTTACTGCAGCTTAACACGTGCATCGGGGTGAATTAAACTAGAATCCATGTAACACTAACTTTAAGATATTAGTGTGTAAATTTATTTTATGGGTATCTATGTAGCTAGCCCTGTATCAGAAGTTAACTAAAGATTGACAGTAACATAAATCTTAGCTTGTAAACATGTGCTCATCCATCCAGTCAGCTGCTTTAACATTTCACTAATGTTCACTGTTTATTAATGTTCTCCTCACAGGAGGTTCTGACCCTGATGTGAGGAGAACAAAAGAAAAGAGAGATGGGGCCACGGCACAGTCACAAACTTTGTTGTTAAAAGTTTGCTTCTTTTAACTACAGTGGAGCTGCATGTGGAGGTAAGTTAAGCTGTAAAGGATTTTTTTTATCTCTCAGTCTAGATAATGTTTTTGATCAATAATAACACAACCATGTTATTGTTGATGTTTTGTGTTCTCATGTCAGTTAGGGAGATGATCAGAGCCCTAAACCTCAGAGAACCACAGAGAAGATTCAGGCAGAGACACAGAGGTGCAGAAGTCTGCATCAACTCTAACCTCAGTGAATCCAGTGACCTGCTGGTGGGATGTGAGGGACACTATGTCAGTGCTATCAAACTGACAACCAGGTATCTGTGTGTGCAACAATCATCATCCACAGCCTCAGAGTGAACATGTTCTACTGCTGGAAACACCATCAGCCAGGAGTGGGCTTGAGAAAAACTTTTAAGTGAAAAGGTCCTCAGTGTGTAGCAGTGAACATTAGACACTGACATGTCACTGGTTTGAAACTGGTCTTTAGAACAGGAAATTATTTGTTTATTTTTATGTAAGAAAACTGCTTGGAATAGAAAAATACCAAATTTAAAAAATAAAACTCACGATTTGTACTGTAATGTGTAACATAATTTTATTTTTGCTATAATTAATATTAATTACAAAATTGGTACCGAATAAAGAACCGTCCAGGAACCGACACAGAAGTGAAGGTACCGACACCGGTACCAATTTTTTTAGAAAGGTACCCAGCCCTATGACCAACTTGCTAATCACTCCTCCTCCTACTACTCCTCAGCTGTGAGTAGCAAGTTGGCCATCTGGCCTAAAACATTTGATTGGTGTACATGATGATTGATTGTTTTGCATGTGTTAAAATCCTACTTCTGAGATTCCAAAAGGAGGTTGGCTTGAAACACAGCAGTGAAGGCTACTTATGGGACAGATCTGGTTGGCAGGTTGTAGACTGAGGAAGTCCTCTTGATGGGGGACAAAACATTTCTCTCTTAAAAAACTGGTCCAGATGACATGATTTAACCTTTTTTGTTGCCATCTACCAGGATGACTGAGCTTAAAACACTTTTTATTTGTTGCTGTTGATGTGAAGAAACTAAAAGTGGCTCAGTTATAAAGTTGTTTTCAGACAACTTAGTTTGAACTCAATTTTTATACATTTTTTTAATAAATAAAAGTCTGAGAAGCATTTATTGTCAGCCTCTTTGAATCTATACTTTGTTAAAGCTCTTATCTCTGAAGTTTCAGGTGAAGGCTTTTTGGAGTTTTTAAAGGTGTGAGCAATTTTGCCGTGATTAAAACTTTTAAGTTAGAGAAAAATTAGTAAAAAGTCTTTGTAGAAATTAATCAAATGTAAACAAAGCATTAAAGTTCATACAGTCCATGGAATTTTTAATATAAAGATTAAGATTTTTATTAAAGTAAATCCCAATATACTGCTGAACTTTACAGAAGGAAGTTGCTTCGGTAAAGTTCAAAATGTTTTTCAGGAATAAAATGCTCCAAAGCAAAACAGCTTAATGGATACTTATCAGGAAACAAACATGACAAACTTTAACCAGCATAAAACAACACACAAGTTGGTTTCAAGAAGCTACACATTGTTTATTTGAACCATGTTAAATGAAGTAATGTGCTGGATTCTTAATTAATTAATACAGTTTATGAAGGACTGTTGAACGAACACTTTGAAAAACATGTTTTGTGATGTGAAAATTACTTACCTTAAACATGGGCATGAATAAGTCGGTGAATGTGTCATTTAGACATTTTTGTAGAAAAAGTTAAAACATTTTATGAACCACTGCTTTAGAACTATTAAGGAATTTATTAAAAACTGCTGTATTGTGACTGAACATCCTAAAATGTTTCACTAACAGATCTGAACAACCAAAATGTTCAGTGAGTCCAGTTTCATAGGAACAAAAAAAGAGAAATAAATGAAGGTCCCAGGTGTTTGAAAGTATAATAATGCAGTTGAGGAGTGTTGCTCATACAGCGAGCGTGTTACCTGGTGCAGTGTGAAAACAAGGAGTAGAGGACGGCGTACTGGATGGTGGGGTAGTAGACTGCCAGCTCAGCATGAACCAGCATCAGATTGTTACTCAGAAGAGTGAAGACCGTCGGAGATAGTGCCCACATCTAAGACAAAACACATTTTGAAACATACTGTCATGAAACGTCACATCAGGAAAAACATTTCTGTAGGTCGACATCATATTCTGAGATGAAGCAAATTGCATCTGCGGTCAGAATGAATCTACAGAATCTGACAGCTCAATGAAATTATGCTTCATTTTTCATGAAAAATGATTCAGTTCAAAAAGCAACTGTCTAACTAACGCATGTCTGCATGTCCTCAGACAAACAGCCACTAGATAGTTTAGTCTGTGCTCCAAACAAACACCAGAGCTTTCCGAGATTAAAACTACAACAAAAACAACAACCTTTTTTTTTTTTTTTTGAAGGAGCATTTTATGGCATTCAAGAACACTGTACAATAAAATACAGTAAAATGCAGCAAAAACCCAAGGATGGCCCAGAGGATGAGGGGTGGCCACGTTGACCTTGCAGAACCTGGTGAACGTGCTTGCAAAAGTCCATGATGCAGCAGCACATATCGCTTTCAGCATAACCCCTCTCAAGGCTGCCCAGGAAGTGGAGATGCCCCTGATAGTGTGTGCCCTCACACTGACCAGCGGGGAGCCGCGTCCTGCAGCGTAGGCGTGGCAGATGACATCCACAATCCAGTGAAAGAGACGTAGCTTGGAAAGAGAACAACCTAACCTAGGGCCTCCATAACACAAGAACAGCTGGTTTGAACATCTTTTAGCAGCAGTAGCAGCAACGTATGCCTCTAGTGCCCTCACTGGGCACAATAACCCAGACCTATCACCAGTCCCTCCTGGCGCAGGCTGAAAACGTGCCAGCCTCAATGGCTAGTTACAATGAGAATGAGATGACACTTTAGGAACGAATGCAGTGCTCGGCCACAAGGTAACACCAGACATATCAGGGCCCCATCTGAGACATGAAGGGCTGATGGAAAGAGCATGTAGCTCGCCGATAATAGCCAACAAAAAGGTTGTCTAAAGCCCTATTCGCATGGGATTAGTTTTACCCAAGGACCTCATGTAACAAATAAATTACTACCCAACGTCTGCTTTTTATGTGGTACATTCACACGGGATAACCAAAGTCTGAGATTTAGCTGAAATTTACGGACATCTTCCGTATATGATATTAATGCGCTGCGTTGTCACGACTGGGCCGGTCCATAATAATGTGCTTAATGTGCGGTCCAGGCCGGTCTCAGGCTTTGACGTTGTTTTACAAATCAGCACAAAGAAAACTAAATAATGAACAATATAAAATTGTGTTAATCTACTTGTTGAGGAGGAGGCAGGTCTGACCGGCTGGTTTAAGAGGCAAAAAAAAAGCCACGATAAGCTCAGATGGACAGCTGTCACTGGCTATGTGTGTGAGCGGCTGTGCGTCCGCTGACCCACCAGTTTAAATGGACTTGTGACCTTAGGGTGTTCCCCGACTCTCGCACAGTGAAGCCTGGACATGGACACCACCAGTGACTCCCGCTACCCGAAAAAGAAGAAGAGGGTAAATATAATGGACGAATGGGTCAGTTGATCACGCGTGCGTGTCTCCGCACCTCCTGTCATCTGCGGTGAAGAACGAAAAAGCTGAAGCAAAAAAAATAAAAATAAATAATTACAAACCGGATTCCAAAAAAGTTGGGACACTAAACAAATTGTGAATAAAAACTGAATGCAATGATGTGGAAGTGCCAACATCTAATATTTTATTCAGAATAGAACAAAAATCACAGATCAAAAGTTTAAACTGAGAGAATGTATCATTTTAAGGGGGAAAATCTATTGTTTCCAAATTTCATGGCTGCAACAAATCCCAAAAAAGTTGGGACATGTCCATTTTTACCACTGTGTGGCATCCCCCTTCTTCTTACAACACTCAACAGACGTCTGGGGACAGAGGAGACCAGTTTCTCAAGTTTAGAAATAGGAATGCTCTCCCATTCATGTCTAATACAGGCCTCTAACTGTAAAAAGGTCTTGGGCCTTATTCGTCGCACCTTCCTCTTTATGATGCACCAAATGTTCTGTATAGGTGAAAGATCTGGACTGCAGGCTGGCCATTTCAGTACCCAGATCCTTCTCCTACGTAGCCATGATGTTGTGATTGCTGCAGAATGTGGTCTGGCATTATCGTGTTGAAAAATGCAGGGTCTTCCCTGAAAGAGATGACGTCTAGATGGGAGCATATGTTGTTCTAGAACCTGAACATAGTTCTCTGCATTAATGGTGCCTTTCCAGACATGCAAGCTGCCCATGCCACAAGCGCTCATGCAACCCCATACCATCAGTGATGCAGGCTTCTGAAAGGAGCCTTGATAACAACTTGGGCTATCCTTGTCCCCTCTGGTCCGGATGACATGGCGTCCCAGTGTTCCATGAAGAACTTCAAATCGTGACTCATCTGATCTCAGAACAGTCTTCCATTTTGCCACACTCCATTTTAAATGACTCCTGGCCCAGTGCAAACGTCTGAGCTTGTGGAGCTAGCTTAGAAATGGCTTCCTCTTTGCACTGTAGAGTTTCAGCTGGCAACGGCGGATGGCACGGTGGATTGTGTTCACTGACGATGCTTTCTGGAAGTATTCCTGAGCCCATTCTGTTATTTCCTTGACAGTGGCAGTCCTGTTTGAGGTGCAGGGACGTTTAAGGGCCCGGACATCACGAGCATCCAGTAGAGTTTTACGGCCTTGACCCTTACACACAGCGATTGTTCCAGATTCTCTGAATCTTTTGATGATGTTATGCATGGTTGATGATGATAACTTAAAAGTCTTTGCTATTTTACGCTGGGTAACACCATTCTGGTATTGCTGCACTATCTTTCTGCGCAACAATGGTGGAATTGGTGATCCTCTTACCATCTTGGCTTCTGAGAGACACTGACACTCTGAGAAGCTCTTTTTATTCCAAATCATGTTGTCAATTGACCTAATTAGTGTTAATTGGTCTTCCAGCTGTTCGTTATATGCTCAATTTCCTTTTTCCAGCCACTTATTGCTACTTGTCCTAACTTTTTTGGGATTTGTTGACACTATGAAATTTTGAATCAACATATTTTTCCTTTAAAATGTTACATTTACTCAGATTAAACTTTTGATCTGTAGTGTGTCAAGGACAGCTTTGCTGTAGACATACTGTCCCACCAAATGTTTATTTAAAACATGTACGGTCCCACTAAATGTAGTGAAAGTGGGAGACAGCTTACTGTACCTTCACTACTAATTAATTATTTGAATATAACGGGTTCTTTCTTTTTCGAGTTAAATTAATGCCATGTGACGAGGTAACTGTGAGGATTGTTTAATCAGTGACAAGAGACGTTAATTTTCCTTTGACCCATCAGAATAAATGTGGTCATTTATTTAACAGAATCAAAATTTAACATCAAAACATGTACACTTGATTAGCTGAACTGGTTCTGATTAATGAAACTTGGCACGCTTTACTAATAAGACAACAAGACATTTCTGAAGGCATCTAGATTACTGGCAAAATAGAAGAGTTTAAAGGAAGGAGTTTAGAGGCTTAAAGAAAAGATGGGCGAAGAGAGGTGTATGTTGTTGACCAGAATTGGCACGCTTCTTTCAATCACCAGCTCAAACCTCCGGTACACTTAAGAGCGTGACGACTCGTTACCTTCGCAGTAGATAAATCAGCTCCGGTGTCGGGTCCATTTCAACGCTACCTTCCAGCGTCTCCGGTGAGAGCGGCTGGTCATCGTCAGAAGTCGTGTCGATTTACTCCGTTCAAAAAACAGGCTCAGCTCCCTTCGAAGTTGGAGGCATTACACCCGGGTGGATTCACAGCAAGCATCTGTGAGTCCGTCAGAGATCCCACTCAGGAGTGGAAAACTCCCGAAGGCTTGAGAAGACTCCATCAAAGACTGAGTTCAACTCAGATCCTAGACTTCAGAAAAACTCAGAAGAACTTAAGAAGATGGAGAAGACTCCATAGCCGGAGTAGACTGAATGGTTCCAGGAAGTGTGGACTTTTAAAGAGTTCTCACTTCCGGTCACTTAGGACTTCCTGATTGGTTGAAACAACCAACAGGGGGTGGTTCTAGTGATGTCAGAGGGTTATTAAAAGTCAACAGAGAATTCAGGAATGTTTAGGAACGTTTAGTACAGACAGAGGAATGTTATGGCAAAGTGAGAGGAACGCAGATGCCAGTGTTTCTCTTTTTACCGTCTGCTAGGTTTAAAAACAATACAGTCCGTTCTAATAACTTCTTTCTGACTGTCTCTGACTTTTGACCGACATCACTGACTTCTCATTCACACAAAAAATCAAAATGCATAATTACTTTGAAAATAGACATTTAACTTGATTTCTAATTTAAATGAGGTTTAAAAAAAATCATTAATACTATTTCACAGTTGATTCAAAATGAGTGGTTCACTTCAACATTAGAAATGATATGAACTAAACACACTTTGATTGTCAAGATATTGTAAAATAGTAGTGATAATATAAAAAGAAGAGTGTTCTTTCAATTGATTACTTCAGGATACAATTAGACAGTCACTGGATGAGCTAATTTGTATTTCTGGATTCAAATCAATGAAATAACAGTTCCTGTCCCATGAAGGTCTCCAGAGGCAGGTTTTGGTCGGAGGCCTAGTTCACTACAGATCTATCATCTATGTTATATTACGAAAAAAATATTGACATTTGCCATCTCCACATCATTACATTCAGTTTTTATTCACAATTTGTTTAGTGTCCCAACTTTTCTGGAATCCGGTTTGTAATTAATAAAGCCAAAGCGAGCCGCACATTCATTTAAAATAGACTTGTTCTATATTTTTCCAAATTATTTTGTTTAAACAAAAACAAACAACGTCTCAATACGTATCGGATCCAGCCCATTTATGTCCAAATCACAGAGATGCCTATTCACATTGGATTAGTATTACCACAGACCTCGGAGTTCAGCAAAATACAGTAGGTTATTTGCGGGAGAATTTTCACTTTACAAATTACTGACATGGCCAATTCGCACGGGATTAACAAGACAGACAATCTCAGTAATTATTACAAATAGCATGTGGTCCCTAGGCAAAACTAATCTCGTGTGAATAGGGCTTTACATGAGAGCCACTTGAGGTCCACCTGCGCCAAAGGCTCGAATGGAGAGTGGCATAGAGTTTTGAGAACCAAGGGCAAATCCCAAACTGGTGCCCACGGAGCCATCGGTGGGTGCAACCTACAAGCGCCACACCTAGAAACTAGATAATGGCTCCAACATTTTTCAGTCAGGTCATCTGGACAGTTTCTTTTTTTGTGCTGAAATGATTCGCCTTCGGTCCGGAAGGCTTCATCAGTCAAGGAAACACACAACAAAAACGATTCTTCCCCCAACAGCTTACTCCAAAGTGGAACAAACCAGTTTTGTTTGTGATAAGATGGTCTCTTTGGTACGGCCCCTCCTCCATTGCTGGTTGACAGTCAAGTCAAAATGGTTGAAAACAACAAAGTCCATGCTCAATAATCCAGGTATACAATCCAACATTTTTTAGTCAGGTCATCTGGACAGTTTCTTTTTTGTGCTGAAACGTTTTGCCTTCGATCCTGTTAAGATATTTTTGAACTGGTCCTATGGTTTGGATCTGCTCAGAGATGGGATTATGACCCGGTTCTGACTGGGTTAAACTGGGCCAGCAACTCTAAAAAGAGTCTCTCTGGGATTCAATATCAGTCAAGGAATAGAGTTTAATCTGCTTGCCACATCACATAGAAAGGCTTTTGAAGCACCATCTCATATTTTCTAACACATCAGAAACACATAAGATCCATTGAGATCACACTTAGTCACGCCCCCTCATACACTGACAGGTTGAGCTCCCCTTCTGTGAAGGAGGGGTCCAGGACCCTATAAATGAGTAATGACATGGGACATCGGGGCTCTTCTGGGTTTTGTGAACGCGTCATAGACCGGAGAGTCCAGCGCTGTGAAACTGCAACTTTTCCTGCCTTGACTTTTAATACAAATGGTAAAACTGAATTGACATTTTCTTTGATTTATTGATAGTATGAGTTGCCACTTCTGAGGAAGAGTCGAGCCGGGGGGAAAGACGTGGGCTGGTGGGGGGTTTCCAGGTCCGGTGGCCCGCAGCCAGCTCCCATCTTTAATAATCCAGAAGGCTTCATCAGTCAAGGAAACGCACAACAAAATGGATTCTTCCCCCAACAGCTTACTCCAAAGTGGAACAAACCAGTTTTATTTGCGATAAGATGGTCTCTTTGGTACGGCCCCTCCTCCATTGCCGGCCCTCTTCGTTGTTGACAGTCGTGTCAAACTGGTTGAAAACAACAAAGTCCATGCTCAATAATCCAGGTATACAATCCAACATTTTTCAGTCAGGTCATCCGGACAGTTTCTTTTTTTGTGCTGAAACGTGTCGCCTTGGATCCGGAAGGCTTCATCAGTCAAAAGACCATCTTATCACAAACAAAACTGGTTTGTTCCACTTTGGAGTAAGCTGTTGGGGGAAGAATCAGTTTTGTTGTGTGTTTCCTTGACTGATGAAGCCTTCTGGATCGAAATTGAAACGTTTCAGCACAAAAAAAAACTGTCCAGATGACCTGACTGAAAAATGTTGGATTGTATACCTGGATTATTGAGCATGGACTTTGTTGTTAGATAATGGCTCCCTACCATAGAGCCATCAGTGCCAACATGATTAGATGAAATTGCCACTATGTAAACCTTAAGTGTTGAAGGAGAGCGGCCCTTATCAAGAAGAGACTGGAGAAACTCAAGAATGGTGGGTATTGTACAGGAGACTGCGGGCAGAACACCACTGGGTAAACAGATATCACCTGGTTTCATATTGCTGATGAGTAGAGGGTGCCCTGGCACCCAAGATGGTGCGTCTTACAGGATCCAAAATTCTGGTAAGCTGCTGTCCAAGCCATAGTGACCACACCCACAGCCGGAGACATTGAGGATTGGGGTGCCATATCAGTACCCCCGAGATGGTAAGTCCCTCCTAGTCAGAAGACACCATGGGACGCCGTGAAACAGACTCCATAGTCCATGGCCGTGCTGGCCAATATGGAGCCACCAGCAACATTCTGTGGCCCTCCTCGAGAACTCTCTGAAGAGTAGGCCAAATCAGAGAAAAGGGCGTAAAAGCATATAGGAGGACCCTTGGCCAAGGATAAGCCAACGCATCCTGGCCCAGTGCACCTAATGCCCACGTAAGTGAATACTATAGAGGACAGTGAGGCGATTCCTCCGTGGCAAACAGATCTACCTCTGCCTGACCAAAGAGGTCCCAGATCATGAGCATCACGTCGCTGTGAAGGGACCACTCTTCCGGAGCAGAAACCTGGTGGGAGAGAAAGTCTGCGGCCTGGTTGTGCCGCCCTGGTAAGTATACCGCCCGCAGAGTGGTCAGGCGAAGAAAGGTCCATTTCAGGAGATCTTTGAACCCTTTCAGAAGTTGCACTGACCTGGTGCCACCTTGATGGTTGATGTGGTAGACAACAGATGTGTTGTCTGACCAAACTAGAACATGCCTTTTTTTTTTTTTTTTTGCTTTGTTTTGTTTTTTTGAATGTCCAGAGGACCAGAATTAACTTTTTTAGATAGAACGTGCCTCCCTTCTAGGTGGGGTAGAAAGTGCCTGAGACCCAAATGCACGGCACGCAGCTCCAGTATATTTATGCGTTTGGAGCAATATTTTCGGCACCAGCGGCCCTGAACCATTCTGTGTTGCCACACAGCACCCCATCTCATGGAGCTGGCATCTGTTGTGACCAATTCTCTGTAACACACAACCATACCCATGGGGACACCCCTGGACAGATAAGTTATGTATCTCAATGGAGTTAAGGCACAAAGTCATGACCATGTCACCATGAGTTTGTGATGCCTGTGCAGCCTGGCATCCAGACGAAAGCTGTTGAGCCACCTTTGCAAGGGGCGTAGTGACAGCGGACCTAAGGGCACTTCCAAATGAGTGATGTCAGTTTGACTAGCAGCTGCAAGAAGGCGAAATAAGGAAACTACCTGCCCAGCCTGAATTGACTGACCAACCAGAGTATGTCCCTCACTGTCTGAACAGATGGGCGAGCCCTCATGGAAGGTTAATCCAAATTCAACCTAAGAAAGGTGGTTGTCTGAGAAGGAATCAAGAAGCAGCTCTTCTCCAAGTTCACTTTAAAGCCCAACTCGGACACATGAGCGATCAGGCGACTCATATTGCGAGAGGCACACGCTTGAGATGGGGCACAGAGAAGCCAGTCATCAATGTATGGAAGAACCTTCACCCCATAGGCCTGCAGAGGGAAGAGGGCTATATTCACGAACAGGGTGAACACTCTCAGTGAGAGAAAGAGCCCGAATGGGAGTACCCGGAATTGCCCGTGGCGGCCCCTGATAGGCAAACCTGAAAAAGGGGTGATGTTCTGTCGCAATAGGCACATGAAAGTACGCATCTTTCAGGTTTATTGATGTGAACCACTTTCCCCTCGTGACAGCCTGAAGAACCTCTGCTGTCATGAGCATGTGAAAGGGCAGCACCTTCAGATACTGGTCGAGTCCCCTCAGATCCAAAATGGGATGAAGCCTGCCCATCTTCTTTGGTACGAGAAAGTATGTTGAGTAGTAACCTCTGGATTGCCGCAGAGGGTCCACTGCCTCAACTACACCCTTGGCCAGGAGGGCAGAAAGTTCCTGGTCCAGTGCTTGGGCTTTCACCGGGTCGGCGATTACAGTCAATTTAACCCGGCGTGGGATGTGAGGCCGCCGTCGGAACTATAGCTGGTAACCATGGGTCAGGGTTGCAACCACCCACAAATCCACAGCCCGAGCAGCCCAATAACTGAGCTGCTGATGGGAGAAACATCGGACGGTCAGCCTGGTGGCATCAATTTCTTCCCCTGCGGACCCTAGGGGCCCTGGGGGGTGGCGGCCAGAGTACGCGGTCCGAACCTGCCTGGCTGGTTGGTGGACTGACCCACAAAGGTCCCTGCTGGATCTCCTCTGTACGGCACAAAGAAAAAAAAACAACCCAGCTGATCATAACCCAGAGGCAGCGGACGAATGTTAGAGCCAACTGACGGGCGCCTTGGATGCCAAGGAGGCATTCCCATGCTGAGGCAGAATTTAATTCCAACTTTAAAACTTATCCAAAATTAATAAAACTTACCTCAAGTTGCCTTTTTGGACATGCATGCATATATTTGTACAAATTGTACTTGAGAGGAGATTATTACAGCTTCATATAAAAATCAATAATGATGATGATATCGGAACTGGATCGGTATCGGACGACATTTAGATTTAGGTATCGGGATCGGATCGGAAGTAAAAAAAGTGGATCGGTGCATCCCTAATAAATACTCTAAATTATTTAAATTGTGGGCCCTGAATCTATCATCTATTAAAGATAAACTTTTTGAATGGAATTATGGAAGTTAAACAACTCTTACATGATATTCTAATTTTTTGGAAAGGGTCTGTATATACAAAGCTTTGTCGTTCAACAACTCTTACAATATATGTAGATTTTTGTGTTCATTGCCCTGAGACAACTTCTGTTGTGACTTGGAGCTACAGAAATAAACTGAATTGAGTTGATTTGAATATGGTAGAAGCAGTGTCATTCAAAACACATTCTGAGTGTGAGACATCTTGCAAATCACGAGATTGCACACAATGCTATTTTCAGCGCAAGATAATCTTAATTCATAACTCTGTCCTGAAAGGCAGTATGCAGTTCTTTGTTATTTCTTGTGCTATCAATCGATATGAACCAGTTCAGGTAAAAGGAGAATGGCTTACCCCAATGAGAGAATTCTTGGTGTTTCCAATGGTGGTAAGGGTGCTGAGGTTGAAGATGAGGGTGAACTCGGCTTTTTCCACAGGTAGGGTACAAGAAGCAAAAGCAGGGTGCTGGATACTGGCACAGGGGCTACTAGGAGCCAGGTTTGTCCCACCAGGCTCCATGCTCCCAAGCAGGCTGGAAAGGGCACATGCCATCTCACCTAAAACCATTTTATAAGCTGCCTCCAGTGTGGGGATGTTTTTGAGACTCAGCAGCGCATGATATACCCCATGTACAGCAGACAACACCTGCGCAACACACAGAAAAATTGTAAAGCATTTCTTTAGGTTTCCGTTTTCAGCTGACTTTTTCATGTGAAGACAGGTTTAGCTTAGCGAGTCAAGAGTCAATAAAGGTGGATTAGAAGTAATTTTTACCATCTACCTCTCCAAAGTGTTCAGACATCTCATCAGAAATGCAAATGATATGAAAATATTAGAGTGAGATTAACTTTTACTGAATTAATAATGCTTTGTTATCTGTATGCTTCAAAAATTATTAAGAGCACAAAAAAAAGACAGTAGGCTAACACTTGAACTAAAAAAAGTTTTTAATGATAGCTGTAAAATGGATTGTAAAGTCAAGTGGAGGCTGTTACATCACAGACTGTGGTTTAGACCTTTATTTATCACCTCTACTCCAACGTAAAAGACCTTGAGAAGCCAAGTTTTATTAAGAAACACACCTCTTTCTCTGGATGGAAACGCAGGTACAGGAGCTGGGAGTCTGGAGCCAGCAGCTTGTCAACAAAAGACACGGGTAGCTTCGTATTGACCTGATCCACAATCTGAAAATACATCAAAAACTTACTAAATCTTCCAAAGCAGTAAAAAGATGTTCACAGATCTGTGAAAGGACTCCATTAAAAACTCCATTAACATCTCACCCTTGCTTCTTATTTCCATTTCAGCATATTTAAATCTTTGTCCTTTTAGGTTTTGTCTAGAAAGGTCAATAGTCTGATTCTGAATTTTATTTGGAGCAAGAGACCACACAGATCTCACAGAGGCCCAAAGCTCTGGGTGGAACGACAGAATCTTACCTCTTGTCCTCCTGCTGGTCAACTGACAGGAGATCTGAATTATTGGGTTCAGAATGAGAATAACTCCCCCATCGTGGGAGGTTATATTTTTTGCACATCTGGTAGCACAAAACTTTTAATCCTCCCTTCTTCACTCTTCTACTTCTAGATACACAAATAATGTATCTGTTTTATGATCTGAATTTAATTTTGATGTTTGTTATAGTGAGTGGGAAACTCTACAGCACTTTAGTTGCCCTGGTGAATGTTTATGCTCCTAATATAGATGATGAAATTTTTTTTAAACAACTATTTTCTTCTTTACCCGATCTTAATAAATATTGTCTGGTCCTAGGTGGCAATTTCAAGTGTTGGCTAGACCCAGTTTTGGACCGCTCATCTGTTAAAAGTAATGTCATAAACAAATCTGCATCAGTCATTCAAACCTTTTTATCTGAATATGGACTGTGCTATGTGCGGCGTGCATTAAACCCTGATAATACTATAATAGGGAATACTCATATTTTTCACACGTACACAGAACTTGTTCAAGAATTGATTACTTTATCACAAACATTAAATACTTATAGCAGATCCACTCCTGTGACTACCAGAGCATAGTTATCTCGGACCACGCCCCACTAACTTTGTCCCTGTCTCTTTCTCACTTTTCCCCAAGAACTGGACAGTGGCGTTTTCATTCAACCCTGCTGTCGGATGAAAACTTTATGAAGTTTATTCAGGATGAGATAAGTTTCTTTTTTTTTTACTAATTCTTCACAAGAGACTTCTAGCCTCGTAGTATGGGATACTTTTAAGGCCTACATCAGAGGCCAGATTATTGCCTACTCAGCAAAAATTAAAAAACAGTCTACTTACGAACAGAATAACCTAATGCAACAAATCAAAGAGACTGACGTAAAATATGCACATAATCAGTGTCGGAACTTTTTAAAAAGCGTGTTGAACTTAAAACAAGGCTTGACCTACTAACAACACACTCAGCTGAACGTTTGCTCTTGCATGACAAATCCAAATTCTATGTGCATGGTGACAAACCCGATAAACTATTAGCAACCCTACTTAAGGGCTCTAGGGCAAGGCAAACTATTTCTAAAGTTCGAAAATAAGACGGCAATACAGTCACAGATCATGGAAAAATTTACGATGCATTCAGAGACTTCTACTCGGAGCTCTACAGCTCACAATTACAAACCAATTCTAACATGATTAATGATTTCTTAGCTAAACTTCACATCCCTATAATCTCACCAGTACTCAAAAACAGGTTAGACGAACCCATCTCCCAGACAGGTCTCCCTAGCAATAGCCTCAATGCAGTCTGGCTAATGTCCAGGTCCAGATGGTTCCACCCTTACCAATTGCTGTAAACATGGATCCCTGCCTCAGTCATTTTACGAAGCCTGTATCACACTAGTTGACAAAAAAGGAAAAGATCCAATGGAATGCGCCTCATACAGACCTATTTCTCTCCTGGATACAGATGTCAAAATTTTAGCTAAGATTTTTGCCCGTAGACTCGAAACCGTCCTACCATCAGTTATTTCAAAAGACCAAACAGGTTTCATTAAAGACCGCCATTCATATTTTAATATACGAAGGCTTCTTAACATAGTTTATTCAAGCCCCACAGTCTCAGATGAATGTGTTGTTTCTCTTGATGCTGAAAAGGCCTTTGATCGGGTTGAGTTTGACTATCTTTTTGCAGTTCTTAGTAGTTGGTTTTGGGGGGCAAATTCAATTCATGGATTAAATTATTTTACCATACCATACCATACCACTTTATTTATAGAGCACTTAAAACAGCGACAAGGCCAACCAAAGTGCTGTACAGACAGAACAACAGGTAACACACAAAGCAAAATACAAAATGAGGTAAATCAGAATATAGACATAAAAACGATGCAGATAATGACGACTAACCAGTGTGGAGCATACAGGATCAAAACACAGATCATCTGGTGTTGAAAGCTACTGAATAGTAGTGAGTTTTTAAATGGGACTTGAAAACCGAGAGGGAGGGGGCCTGTCTGACAAGCAGAGGTAACTCGTTCCAGAGTCTTGGTCCTGCTACAGAGAAGGCCCTGTCACCTCTGTGCTTAAGACAAATTCCTGGAACTGTGAGGAGCAACTGGTCCGCTGACCTCAGGGAGCGTGGTGGGACATACGGTTGTAGCAAATCAGAGAGATTGGGGGGGGGGGGGGGGGGACACTGTTCAGTGATTTGTAGACATACATCAGCATTTTGAACTGGATTCGAAAGTGAACCAGTAACCAGTGCAGGGAGGCCAAAACAGGTGTAATGTGCTCTCTTTTGCCTGTACTGGTTAAAAATTGGGCTGCTGCATTCTGGACCAGTTGTAGTCGTGCAATGGAGGTCTGACTGATACCAAACAGGAGCGAATTGCAGTAATAAAGCCTAGATGTAATGAATGCATGTATTACTGTCTCCAGGTTGTTTTTGGACAATATGGGCTTCAGTTTAGACAGCCGCCTCAGTTGGAAGAAACATGATTTAACAATCATGTTTACATGATTGTTAAGTTTCAGGGAAGGGCCCATTATCACTCCCAGATTAGTGACTCTTTGTTTTTCTGACAGGGTTAGAGCGGAGAGGTCGATGCAGTGGTTTGTGATCGTATTGTTAGGAGGGAACAACATGACTTCAGATTTCTTTTCATTGAAACTTAAGAAGTTTAAAGCCATCCAGTCCCTGATGTAAGCCAGGCAGTCGAGCAGCGGTTGAATAGAGCATGCACCATTTTGTCTTAGGGGGAAGTAAATTTGACAGTCAAGGGCATACAAGTGGAAGGGCATGTTGTGTTTCCGGAAAATAGCACCAAGCGGCAGCAAGTATAAAGAGAATAGGAGGGGACCCAGGATGGACCCCTGAGGAACCCCCCATTTAAACTCTGCCTCTGCAGAACTAAAATCCTTGATGGAGACACAAAAGGATCTGTCAGTGAGGTAGGATCTGAACCAATTGAGGGCTGACCCTGTGACGCCCACCCACTGCTCTAAATAGGGCTGAGTACCAAACTGAGGTTCTTTTATGGCACCGACCGAACTGCACCGGTCGGTGTATGTATTGAAACATCACTCTTCTTTCGGTGTCAAGTTTCGGTATTGGCTGTAACGTGTCACGTGGTTTCAGCATGCAGGCTGGTAAAACACCAGACATATGACAAACAGACTACAGCCAGATTACATCCAGAGCTGTATAGAGCTGCCGTACCTAATCTATGTATAATTATGTCTATGGTGCTGGTGACGCCCGACAGACGGGTTCACGTGTGCAGCGTGTGTTGTCGAACAGCTTCGACAACACGCGCTGCAGAAAGTTGCTCCGTGTTTTTCTGCGAGGAGAGAAGAGTTCATTAGCCTCCCCCCTCCTCCTCCTCCTCTCAGCATTAAAGTCAGCCTGTGAGAGTCTGAACGTCCTGATTCATTATCTCCACGATCGGACTCTTCATCAAAGAACTCCGAGGACGGCTCTGAGTTTCAGCTGGTGAGTTACGTTTGTTAGCGTAACTGCAACTTAACACGTACATCGCGGTGAAATAAACTATGATCCATGTAACGCTAACTTTAAGATATTAGTGTGTAAATTTATTTTATCTACGTAGCTAGCTAAACTCAGAAGCTAACTAAAGATTGACAGTAACATAAATCTTAGCTTGTAAAAATGTGCTCAACCATTGGATCAGCTGCTTAAACAGTTCACCTGATGTTCACTGTTTATGTTCATGTTCTCCTCACAGGAGGTTCTGACCCAGATGTGAGGAGGACAAAAGAAAAGTGAGGTGGGGGCCACAGGACAGTCAGACTTTGTTGTTAAAAATTTGCTGCCTTTTTCTACAGTGGAGCTGCATGTTGGAGGTAAATTAAACTTTAAAGGATTTTGTTAACCAGTTAAACCTTTATCCCTCAGCCTAGATAATGTTTTTTGATCAATAATAACACAACCATGTTATTGTTGATGTTTTGTTCTCATGTCATTTAGGGAGATGATCAGAGCCCTAAACCCCAGAGATCCACAGAGAAGATCCAGGCAGAGACACAGAGGTGCAGAAGTCTGCATCATCCATACCTCATTGAATTCAGTGACCTGCTGGTGGAATGTGAGGGACAATATGTCAAACTGACAACCAGGTATCTGTGTGTGCAACAATCATCATCTACAGCCTCAGAGTGAACATGTTCTACTGCTGGAGACACCATCAGCCAGGAACATCTTGTTTGTGTCCACATAAATCAGACATGTTGTTGTTTCTGAAGAAAAACTGTTCAGAGAAAAGGTCCTCAGTGTGTAGCAGTGAACATTAGACACTGACGTGTCACTGGTTTGTAACTGGTCTTTTGACCTGGAAATTATTTGTTTGTTTTCATGTAAGAAAACTGCTTGGAATAGAAAAATACCAAAGTTAAAAAATAAAACTCACAATTTGTACTGTAATGTGTAACGTAATTTTATTCTTCTTAGAATTAATAGTAATTACAAAATTGGTACAGAAAAAAGAACAATCCAGGAACCGACACCGAAGTGAAGGTTCCGACACTGGTACCAATTTTTTTAGAAAGGTACCCAGCCCTACCTAGCAATGAGGATCTCACGGTCGATGGTGTCAAAGGCGGCCGTGAGGTCCAACAGGACAAGCAGCACAGAATCACCAGGATCTGTGGATCTGAAGATGTCAAAGACCTTCAGCAGGGCAGTTTCAGTGCTGTGGAGAGGTTTAAATCCA